GAAGGAAGGAAGGAAGGAAGGAAGGAAGGAAGGAAGGAACGAAGGAACGAAGGAAGGAAGGAAAACAAAAGAAGGAAAGGTTGAAGGAAGGAAGGAAAAAGCAACATGTCTTATTTAATTTATAAAAAGTTAATCAATGTCATCCTAACTATTTCAAAGTTAAATCAAAAGATCCTAAATGCTTCCTAAAGTGAGATCAACAGTTTGGCTTTAGAATAATTCATTAATAAAAAATGAGGCCAATCTTTAAATAAAACATTATTTATCTGATCTGAGGCTTTAAAATCCAACTAGAAACAATAACTCATCTTATACTGAAGCAGATTGTCAGACAAGCTGTTAAAATGTCAACTTCCTGGTGTTTCTAGAAGGAAATCTTCTAAACTTCCACCAGTAACAAACCCAGTTTACACAAACAGAATCCCAGTTGGCTCCAGTGGGGGAGCAGATGGCTTTAGTGGAGAATGAGGAGCACATTTAAACCTGACAAGGTGGAGAGATTTCCCCAACACTCACCTCTGATTCCCTTTGACCGAGTGCGAGTTCGCTTGTCGTCACCCTCCACACTCATCTGGGAGGAAAGGGGGAGGAAAGGGGGAGGAAAGGGGGAGGAAAGGGAGAGGAAAGAGGGAGGAAAGAGGGAGGAAAGGGGGAGGAAGAGGGAGGAAAGAGGGAGGAAGACAGTCAGTGGTTCATTCTGGAGAGAGCATCCATTGTTTCTGTTTCTGCTATAAAAAGGTTTGTTCCAAATGTTCCCATTCAGAACAACAGGAAGCAGAGAAGAAGAGCGCATCTACACACCTTAGCTCTCACCACAGCACACTCTGCTGCACATGCTAACATCATGTTCACTTCATCACCAATGAGGGTTACATGGAAAACAACCCCCCCTCCCCCCGCCCACATCACTCCCCTGTAATTTCCTGCATCTGAGTGCTGCTGATGATTGAGGTCTGCGCAGAGGCAACAGGCGGCGGCGGCGCAGGGGGCCGCGGCCCTCGTAAGCAGAGGGGCCGACAATCATAACTACGCTGAATATAATAATAAAGTGAAAATACACGGGGCGCTGTAATAACCCTTTTAAGAAGAGGTGTGTGTGTGTGTGTGTGTGTGCGCCTCTCAGCTTTTAAAGCCACAAAGAAGCAGGTGTTGCCCCCCCCCCACATGCAGTGACCAGGACCACACCTCCTCCTCCTCCTCCTCCTCCTCACTGCTACCTCTCCATGCTCCTCCATAAAGCTATCAGATGCTTTCTACACACAATGGAGCCATTAGCTTTGATTACTGGATTCTGTTTTTGTGTGTTTCTGCTCTGCCTTCTTTCTGTCCCTCTCTTCCTCATGTACGCCCCCCCCCCGTCCCCACCCCTTTCATCCCCCTACAGTCGCCCCTGCTTGCCCGTCCACTTAGCCGCTTTGTAGCTCCTCTTTAGTCCGGTTGGCACAGCCACAGTGGGATTCAAACATAAGGTCCTGCTTTCTCTAAGTGTTTTTTTTCTATTTGGCAGAAGCCCTTTCCTGTTAATAGATGACCAATGAAAAGGAGGATAGAACGAAGGATGAGAGGCGGATGAAACACGCTGTTGTTGGCGTTAAGGGCCGTTCTTAGCCCATCACTCCCATGCCGGGGACATTCATTAGGGGCTAGCTGGAGGTACAGGTGCGACCCAGACCCCCTCCCTTCAGGCCGTCACCTCGGCCCGCTGCTCTCTGGTCTTTCCTGATGACGCTGTGTTAATGTCGCATCCTACAAGCAGGAACCATGATGATCAGTCGGCTCCTCCTGGTGTTTTAACTAATCACTGAACTGTCTACCTGTGCTCATTCAGCTCAGACGTTTCAATTTACTTTTTTATTTTCTCATAGAAAATCACCAGTTTCTTATTATTATTTACATTCATTAAAGACTGTAAACCTCAAACACACTTATGCGCATTTTTTTGTATCCCATGTAGCTTTGCTCCAATGGAGGTTTCCTGGCGGATCTGAGGTCGTTATCATTAATTGTAGTCTAAAGAATCACCCACGGTGATCAGTGGTCATATTCTCTCAGCAGGATCAGAACCGTGAGAAATATGGTGAGAAATGAACACAAATCGCTAAAAGAGGAACACAAAATCACAGGGGAGACTTAAACATAAGCACTGGAAAACTACGGAGCTACTCCAACAAGGTGAGTTACTTTAGTAACCTTTTGCTAAAAAAAATAAGTACTTTTCAAAACACCACCATACTTTTTACTTCTTCTTAAAATGCTTGTCTTTTCATCCAATCAGCATCCAGGCTACAGGTTCTTTGATGATTAGTCGTTAGTTAGAGATGAAACCAGGTCAGTCAATGAAACTTTGGTTATCTTCAGAAAATAAATCAGAAAAAAAGCTGAAACGGCGCCTGATTCCTCTAAATTTCATTCAAAGATGTTTTAATCATTTAAATTCAAGTCAGGTGCTTTGGATCTTCTAGGCTTATAAAGGCTTTTAAATCCTTTGGTGGACTTTGGCTGCCGTGGCCACCCTGTGCAATGCCCTGACCTCCCGACTGGTCGCTCCCACTGGCCACCCAACAGGCCACCCTACTGGCCGCCCCACTGGCCACCCTATTGGGTGTAAATTATAGCAGCATCAGTTTAGCATTTCATCCCATTATGCAGAGGCAGCGACATAATATTAAAAATCCCACAATTAACCAAGATCTGAGGAGGTGTTTACTGAACTCGTTATGAATTCTACAGGCAGGTTTATCACTATAGTAGATCCAAACTCTGAAATGATGGCTTTTAGTTTCAGCGGCCACCCCAAGATTTTTAGTGGCCCCGTCTGGCCCCCCCATGAAACATTTCTGGAGGCGCCACTGCGGACGGGGGACCTGTGAGCTCCACAGTCAAAATAAATATGAAGCATTCATGGTTTTCCTCAGCTGTAGTCTGACCTCTGGTACGCAGTCACAGCCCTGATATGAATACTACCATCCTTTTCCTGCTGGTCTGAACCCATTTAAACCAGAACAGTGGGCTTCTAGTGGCAGTGGGAACAGTTCACTGACGCATGTCTACCTGGGTCAAACGACTCGGATAGCGACCTGTATTAAAATCTTCTCGGCTCTGATCGGCATGCTGTGGGAACACCAGAGCCGGGTGGACCCGCTAAATTACATGATACCATTGAACGCATCGTACGGACATCAACACACCACGCCATAAACACGACAAACATGGAGCAGCTCTGCTGAGAGGGATTCAGACAGATAATTCCATGATGCTCTCCATTGTTTACTATCCTGATTTCTGTCGCACTGGTGACATCATCGACACTAACCCAGAGTGATGATGTCACCAGACATGCAGGGGCAGGGGGACAGTGGACACGCAGCTGCCCGCTAGGGGTTAGAGGCTTTTTAGCCAATGGGAAGGGAGCTAAACGCTAATAGTTAGCGGGTCGTCCCGTGTTTGAAAAACACGCTTTAACCTGCGATTTTCAGTAGGAAAGAGGCTTATGAGTCTCAAATCTCCAATATGGCTGCTATAGGTCTCATAATGTAACAGGGCAGAAGCCAAACAGCCAGTTGGAAGCTTTAGTTTTGGAAATGTTTGGAGTTATTCCCTATAATTCCCTATATACCGACAGGCCGTTATAAACACAACCTGTCGGTATAACAGCTTCACAATTATTCAAGTTTTTCCAAAAACTGTTTTGATTACAGCATTTTGTTTTGAAATACACATTGAAGCTGTTATTCTTCCTATTTGGACACAGCATTTTAATAAACACTCATTCCCATCTCAGAAACCTTCATCTGACACTTTTTAAAAGCTTTAACATATTTATTATTATTTTTTTCTTATTTCTTGGTTTGTATTTCCAACAAACAGATTTTGCTTTGAATAGTTGTTTATCATGTCTTTTTTTCATAAGAGCGATTTGATTAATTTGAAAGCCTAATTTCTGTTTGTGACAAGCAGAGCTACTGCTGGTTACACAGTTCAACCAATTTATTCATAAAGCTCCAGATCACAACAAAAAAGTCGGAGAGGTTAAACAAAATATGCATCGGAGCCATTTTAAGTGTCTGAACGTAGCGACGGTAGAAACGCATCCATGATGGAGAGACATTCTTCTCTCATAATAAACTATACAGCAGCATTGTGCTTCTTTTTCTCTTCCTTTGCATCCTCCTTACATCGAGAGTCATCGGGTGAAACGAAACCTGGACTGAAAAGGGCTCCTGTTGCTTTCATGTTTGTGTAACCATAGTTACGTACATTCAAATAAGTAAGCATATCAGAGTTCTCTTCTTCTTCCTCAGTTCCAGCTCATTAAATTTGCATCAACACAAATTCACAGCAAATAAACCCAATGCAGACAGGCAGGCTTTCACCGCTTCTCTTTGTCATGTTCCAAACTCGTCCTTTAATTAGAGCCTCTCAACAATGTATGCATACGGAAGCACAGACGGTGCGGTCAGCGCAGAAAGGGAGAGAACAGGAGTCTGAATGCAGAACCTGCTGTAGGTCTATGCATGTCATGTGCTTTAACGAGTGTGAAATGTGCGGAGCAGCTGCCAGGGAAGAAGAAAAGGAAACAGGAGGAGGAAGAAGACGCAGCTCATCCCTTCAGGCTGCGTTGTACATTATCAATTTACGTCCTTCTTTGTGTGCAGCGGCTGGAGCGGGAGGGCCTCAGCTCTGCTCCCAGTTCTGACAGCTCCATGTAAATGTCTGGCTGGGGGCAACAACTTCACACAGAAGGTCACCCTCCGTCCCTCGGTGCACATAAATGACTCTTTTATCCATTTTCAGGTTTACAGCAGCTGATGAGGAGAGGAGGGAGGTTCAGGTGGAGCTGAGAGAGAAGTGGAAGGAGGCTGAAACGACCTGCGGACAGCAGCCGCCAATTAGGGCAGCGCTTCCCTTGACGGGCAGGCCGAGCTGATAGGGTGGAGGGGGCGGAGGTGGGGGGCAGATGTCATGTTTCCCGCCTTGTATGTGAAAAAGGCTGAGCATGTGTGATCACATAGTGGGTCATATGTGAGTGTGTCTGTCGTCAGAGGTTTGCCATTTACAGGCTGAGTCATCCTGATGGGATTCAGGCCTCAGACATCTTCTAGCTCTGATCCAGAGTCACTTTCTCTCAGGGTAAAATTAGGTGGAAGGACGAGCAGTCAGTGGACGCTTTATTGGTCATTAACTGCAGCTCCCTGAGGCTGGAAATGATGTCAGCTTCAATGAACTAAAGGAACATCTGATTTTAAAAAAACCTCAGAGAAATGAACCAACTGCTGCTCTGCTAACCAGAAAGATTAGCATCAGTGAGAAGGTCAGACTGCAGCTTACAGCTTCTCCTCTCCTGAGGCGTCAAAACTGCTCATGTTTATCACTACAGTATGAATCCTGCTGATTAAAAACACTTTTATAGAAGTTAGAGGATCAACTTCAGCTTTTTACTCCACTAAAAGTACCATTCTTAAAACTACTTCAAGTATAAAAGTAAAAGTAATGCGGTATAAACTGTTAAGGCCAGAAGCTTTACTGCTCTACCTTCTTAAAGGAACATTTTCTACCTTTCTGGATGAAAACTTCCTTAGACTCCAGTTTCATCTTGAAAAACTATTTATTTTGGTTTGTGGTGAGCAACAAGTGGGGGCAGCACCGAGTCCAACCAGATATAAATTAATTCTCTGGATGAAACTAATTATTTTGATGGTTTTTATTTTTATTAAATGCCAACAGGCCATAAAGAAAATGAGCTTAAATAAAAGAAAACTAACGAGTCTATTTCTAAAATGTAAAGAGTAGAAGGAAAAAGTTTTCTAAAAATAAATACTCCAGTAAAGTCTAGATAGCCAACGTTTCTACTGAAGTAATGAAGTATTTGTACTTTGTTACTTGACGCTTCTCTCTGATCGCTTTCTGCTTTTCCTTCATTCCAGCTGTTTTCAGCTCTAAAGGTTCAGCAGAAGAAGTTTAAAGGCTGCAGGAAAATATAAACAACCTAAGAACTTTATTTAGTTAAAGTCACTTTATTCACGCGCCGACGTCCGTTATAATATCTGAAGTATATCCTTGTATACCTTTGATGGTAGTATTTATACACTGCACTCATAATACACTCTGTTTAAGGTCGGATTCAGACCTTAAATCGATGCAGAAAAAGCCCAGATGAGGACTTTAATCTACAGAAAATAGAGACTTAATGAAAGCCAAATGTTTTTTTAATGTAGATGAAAATAATGAGAACTCTTTGATCTGACTGGGTGTTGCTGTTTTCTCTACGTCTGACTAAGTTTCCTTTATGGAAGAATAGAAATGAAGATTAATTATCTGAACTTCATCATCTTATTCTGACTTGGCTTTAGAATCATTTATAATTTGAGACTGAAATTATTTTTCAATCTAAAGGTTGAGATTTGACTCCAGCAGGTTTTAGAGCAAAGCACTCGACTCCGAGTCCCCTTCAATCTGCACCTCAGACTCTGAGTGTATTTAGGGAAAGTTACTGGGTGGATGTGTCTCTAGTCCTGAGGGCTTCTAGTCGGGTGGAAGTGGCTCTAGTCCGTAGGGCTTCTAGTCGGGTGGAAGTGGCTCTAGTCCGTAGGGCTTCTAGTCGGGTGGAAGTGGCTCTAGTCCGTAGGGCTTCTAGACGGGAG